CCCTGGCATTTTTTAATATTAAATTGCATCTGCCATTTTGCAGCCCATTTCTCAATATCATCTAGGTCCTGTTGAAGTGAATGTATGTGTCGTTGATAATAACTGCCCTACACAGTTTAGTATCATCCGCAAACACAGAAATTTAACTATTTATCCCAATCTCTATATCGTCTATGAATAAGAGAGTGTACCCTGGGGCACCCCACTCACAACTTTTGCCCAATTAGAAAATTAACCATTTATTGCCACCCTCTGGATCCGAATGTGCAGTCAGTTTTCCACCCATGTACATACAATTTCATCTAAACCGATAGACCTTAGTTTGTAAATTAAACGTTTGATGGGTAGTGTATGAAATGCTTTAGGAAAGTAAGGATACACCACATCTACTGGTATTCCTCTATCTAAATTAACGCTGACTTCCTCATAGAATGTTAATAGATTGATTTGACAAAAACAGTCTTTCATGAATCCATGCTTGTTGCTACTTATTTTTCCATTTTATAGGCAAATTCCTGCATATAGTCCCTTATCATTTCTTCAAATATTATATAAACTATCGCTGTTAAGCTGACTGGCCTATAGTTACCCGGTGTGCTTCTTTTCCCCTTTTTATATATTGGTACCAGCTGGCACCATACCTGAGATAAAAGTATCCGTAAAGATTGAGAACAATGGTTTGGCTATGATCTGGCTAAGTTCCTTGAGTACCCCTGCATGTAACCTGTCTGGTCCTGGAGATTTGTTTACTTTTAATCTTTCCAGACTGTTTTTCACTCTGATCTCTGATTGTCCACATTGGTTATGTTTTTTTCATGCTGATTTCTTTCTGGTGGGGTAACATTTACCCAATGACAGCACAGTGCACTGTGAGAGCCATGATTAGGCAAAGTAATGATGACGTTGCCCTATCATGGCTCACAGCTAAGTCCTGTCAGGTGCAGGACAAATGTAAATAGCTGGGTGACCCTGGAAAAACACCTTCCATCTGGTTAGGAATTTTGGGGGTGGGTTTCCTCCTTAAAATTCCTTCCAGACCTTAAGAGCCTGGTATGACTTTGAGGGGGAACCCAACACAATTTGTTTTTCCTTTTATTTAAATGGGGTCCCTCCTAACATTCCTAATAGACCTAAAGGGTCTGGTATTGTTTGGGAGGATGAACCACATGCTTTTTTTTTTCTCTTTATAAATGTCATTTTTTTCTTTATAAATGTCACTTTTTGCTGCAGCAGGCTCTATACATTATACAGATGTGCCACTTTATAGGCAGTTTTAGGGGCTCCCCCAGCCACGATATTTAAAGGAATTTTTCATTTTTATTGTTTCACTTTAAGCAATGTTAAAATCACTGCTCTTTTAAAAACTGTATTTTTTTAAAGTGTTTTTTTTTGCATTGATACATGGCCCCCAGGACAGTACCCAAATTCCCATAACCTTTATATGGCCATTAACTTGCATATAAGGCTTAAAAATGGGGACAATTGATTTTCAGAGTTCTAGTTCCATAGACTTTCATGAGTCAGCCCTAAATACCCATTTTTCCCCTATTATTCCATAAACGACTTAGTTCTTAATGTTGTCTAGCCTATAAAGTACACCATTTATTCCTTTCATACTAGGAAGACTATACAGTAAGTACACCTTCTATATCAAAAAAGCACATGTGAATCACTTTGCATTCAATATCCAAGACCCAACAGTTTTCATAGGATAACATAACCCACCTTACATGGTAGACCTGTAGAGTATCTGAAATAAGATGGAATATAATGCATACATCTCCCCATATTACACACTACCTCATTTGGAGAGCTTTAAGCAAGCATCTAGTCACACTTTATCTTAACAGCAGGATGTGGTCACCCGCCACATCGGTGTTTGATGTCATGTTGGCATGTGACATCATTCCATGCAAGCGTGCATGCTGAGGCTAATAGACAGGGCTCCATAGGGGAAATGCAACAATGCCCACACACCAATGATTCCTCCTCATGGCTGGTGGAGGTAGAACCCAAATTCGACCCTAAATCCCCTCCATCTTGTGTGAGGGCATATTTACTCTCCCCAAAGGAAACACCACCAATGCCATCTAGATCCCACACAGCCACCTGAGAGTCTGCACAGTCCACCTGAAACCCCACACAGCCATGCTGAGACCCTGTACAGCCTGAGTCCCCACACAGCCCACCTGGGACCCTGGATTTCCCCCTTTGTTAATAGCGCAAACTGGCCAGAAGCTTGATACATTGCCATGCTGGATACAGCGATTGACAGGTTTTGCACAATGTCTTAAACAGGAAGGGGTGGGGAAAATTTAGATTAGGGAGGTACTCCAGTTTGGTCTTGCCTGGGGCTGCACAAAACCAAAATACATCACTGCTGGTGGAGAAATATAAAGCGGCATGGGGTTGAGAGGTTTTGAGGGTATTGTACTGCACACAATGGATATGCTCAAATCCATTCTTTTTTAGCAATTTGTGGTTTCTTCTTTTTTTTCTATAGAAGAATCATATATCCTTGTGCCAAATAAAACACAAGGTTATATTTGAAAGATGTGATGTATGTGTGCTTTGGATGTATCACCTGAAGAGTCCTAGTTAAATTAAAGATACACACAAAATGTAAAGTTATGTATTAGTTTTAGGCACTGTATTTAAGCTCTTTGTCTTTTTCCAGACTCAACGGGTTGTTGTTTGGCCATTTGACACTATATGCCTTGAGACCAAGCTAATACATCCCAGTCTGCTGCTTAAACTATTTGGGTGCTGTTTAAATTGCATTGTCTTCCAGCAGCAAGAAGGTTTCACCTCTCTCAGTGTAAAGCAGTCTCCCTGCCCATGGTTGGCAGCCTCCTCCAGTATTTGTCAGGCTTCATCTAAAATAGTGTGGGCTGGAAGCGATGCAACCCTTGTGGCATTGAGTGACTACATTAGGGCAAATATAAACTCTAAGGTTGCTTTGCTTGTCGTGGGTGGTTTAACCTGATAAAGGGATCTTCACTCCACAACATTGACATTTTTTTTCTGCCCACACCTGCTTTCAGGTGCTCCCGTTCTCTACTGTATATCTGCTGGTATTGCATTGCTTTTTTATGTATATACCTGATGTCTACACCTAGCTACATGTTGGACCCATTCTTTCTGATATATTAAATAGTACTGCATGTATAGCTTAGCAGGTGAAACATCAGGTGTATATCTATATGTATTGTGCATGTTTCACGTGATTTATAATATATGCAAGTCTTTGTAAACCAGCTGTTCAGTGTGGTGGTTGATTCATTTGATCATTTATCAACAGTCCCCACTTGCAATTGATTACCTAGAGAGACAGTGATTGAAAACCCTCCATTGGAGACAATTTGTTTTTCAATGGCAACTATCTAATATGGTATCTGCCCTATTTTTGAGAGATTATTTCTCATTTTCTGTCATGTCTCTAGGTCAGAAAGTGAAGGGAATTAAATGGACAGGTGTTTTAACCATTCACTACTCTATCCAGCCCTTTTACTACTCAACAAAGTCTATATCTTGACTGTGAGATCAATCCACATTTGGCTTCAGCCCCTTTTATCTCCATTGCTCAGGTTTCTTTGATGTCTGTGACCCCACCGGGGGGATCTGTGACACTGAGGAGATTTTCACCCAACATTAATTCCCTGTTATACCTGGACAAGAAATTATTGAACTGTTGTCACTGGAACAATAGTGCACAATATAGTATGTGCATTCCTCTTTATTAGGTACTTGTGTGTTTCCAATGTGACGATAATTTCCATTTGTGTTTTTTTTTTCTTTAATAAAAATGTTCAAAAGACATTGTTTGGTTACCACAGGCAAGCTTTGCAATAAATTAGAGATACTCTGTGCTTCTCTGGATTAAATAGACATTGTTCTGTATATTACACATGGTGACATTTTTTACCACCATGTATAATGCTCCTGAATTTTCCAGGCTTTTAATATTAAATTGCTTAATTCATGTCTGCACATCCTACACTTAGTATTTGTAATGATAAATTATACACTCTTTCCAAAATAATTAGACTCCCAGAGCAACTTTGTTATACGCCGATTTTAAAACCTTTCTCATCTTTTGTATTCATTTAAAGTAGAAAATACATTGCTTTTCTTTAAACTGGCTCAGCAATGAAATGCAATGTATGTTTTTGGACAGCTTCTATTCATCTCAGAAGACATGCAGCAATTATTTGTTAAAAATAAAATAAAAAATAAAGATCAAATCAAACAAAACCTAAATTATAAACATAATCAAATATAAATCTTAGACTGAAAAGATTTCTTAAAAAGCACATGAACAAGCAAGTTACATAAAGGCAGGGTAAACATTTTGATTCTACTCTTTTTCATCTTGCTTTGACAATGTGACGTTATTAGCTTAAGAGTCTTAAATAAGATGCTACAAAAAGCTTTCTTTATGTGGTCCATTTCACATCTTACTGTGAGCTTCTTGAGTGGCAAATGTGATGAGCAGAGGCGTTTCTGTTTTGCACACTGAGTCTGAATGTTGTATGTGTATAGGGCTTATAATCATGATCACTGTGTCTCTCTGAAAGGTAATGCTGCTAAGTGATCATCTTTGCTCCCTGCAACCTGCAGTGTGCCAGCTTACAGCCGACTCCAGGGACATTCACTCTTGTGCTATACTCTATAAAGAAGCAGGATGGTGGATTTAGACAGTGAGGTCCCTGCACTACCTCCCAGATACAGATTTCGGGATTTAATTCTTGGGGACCAGGCATTTCAAAATGATGACAGGTAAAATATTGTCTTTATAACTTGATGATACAAAAGAGTAAAATATATAACATATTTAACTTAGAATATCATATGACATTTCTTTTAATCAGAGGTTTTGTTGTGTATATTTACTATATTTCTATGCACTGTACCAATACTTGTCATGCTGAGTACTTGTTTTTACTATTTTGGCTTTCTAAGCAGATTTGTTTCCTGTAGCTGGAGGGTTCTTTTACAGATGCTTTCTGAAAACAAGAGCTACAAGTGCTTGTCAAAGTAGGACCACATTTGATTATGCATGAATTAGCCTCAAATACTAGAGGCTCTGTGTTAAACAGTTGCTAGAAAAAAGACATGGTTTAATTAAAACACATTTTGCAAATTACTGATTTTGTTTTTATCCTAAAATACATACATTTTTGGAAATATCATAGAAATAATGTATTTTCTCTATTTAAGTAGTAAAGGAAATTATAATTCAAAGACTCTTTGTAATAAGGAGAAGTTTAAGTCACACAATCATTGGAGACATTAGGAAAGATAATTTTCTACTGGTGGAAACTCAGAAAGCGTCAATGTGGTTTTTTACTTCCAGATCACTGTTAAAATCTTGGAAGGATTGAACAGTACATATCTTTATATGAAACACTGTTCTTATTGGTTTTGCTAGTTTTATTATTTGGACAAATGATTGTTAAGAATGTAAAATGTATCATGGAAGAGATTGCTAAATGTCATCATCTAAAATATTGCTTGAGTTGAATCGAGTCAGCTTCAGCTTCCTGAATGCTCAGGTGTTCAATCAATTGTGCATTGCAAAGTCTTAACTTTTCTAACTAGGATATCATATGCTGGACATTTCTAGCAGGCTAGACTTTAAAATGTGTGAACCTCTGACAATATCAAGGTGAACATAAAGAAAATGGGATTGCCAGAGTGGTATTTCTTAGATTTATATATGCCTACATGGTGGTATTAATAACTAGGATCCAGTATTTTATTTTATTTGAAGAACCATATAAAATGACAGCAGGGCTTTGAATGTAGGGGTAAATCAAAAGAATTCCTGAATCCGCAATTCTTGATTCTCCTAAATATTTATGTGCAGATCTATCTGAGAAATATACAATGCACAAAACTGGACTGTCATGGTTCCTAGATTGTTTAAATTTTTCACAGAATGGATGAACATTTTCTACTCAATGATTTTTCTGGCATTTAAACTAATTAACTCATCACTGCTTTTAGAGCTGACCTCCTTGTGAATAGGTGTGTGAACTCATACAATTCAGGGTTGTACAGATTCTTTTCTGAAACATGTACACATATGAATATGTGAATGGGAACAGAATCTTGCTGTGTAGTGTAAAAACCATGCCAGAATATACAGCTAGCACTATACTTCTGCCACTGGGGGTATGAGAGCTGCAGCTGTCATTCAGCGTAGGATGCTGTTGTTCACCCGCCCTTTCCCCTCACCTTGTACATTCAAAGAATCTTTTATATTCTGTTTTTACAAAATACAAGGTGTTCTGTAAATGGACAAAGGGAGAGCAGGTGCAGGTAAACAACAGGATCACATTGCTGTATAAGCTGCAGCTCTTGTCCATTCACAGAACGTCTTGTATTATGTGGACAGAAATACTCCTTGCTCCTTGGCTTACCCAGAAGAGCTGTTAGCTGGCACCAGTGGATAATCTGGCTTTCAAAAAGTAATGAAGCCAAAGGGAAATGCTTTCAAATTATATTATTAGCTCTTTTATTAGAACTATTTTTATTAAATAAACTGTTTGTTTAACCAGTTAAAGACCAGTTGTTTACTTCCCCTTCCTGGCCAGGCCATTTTTCAGTATTTAGTGCTGAAGTACTTTGACTGACATTTATTCCGTCATGCAACGTCATTCAGAGCCACCATGCTGGTCCCAGCCTCGCACCGGGCACAGCAGAGCCAGGGACCAGCGGGACAGCAGGAGGGGGGCACACACCGGGACCTTATACAAGCGATCCGCCAGCTCTATAGCCGGTGGATCACTTGTATGTAAACAGGCATTGCTGCCTGTTTTAAAATTTAGGCAGTTTCCCGCTCACGCACACCGCGCGCGAGTGGGCGTGTCTAGCGGGACATTTAAGTGCGCCCACTCAGATTTATTTTCACCATGGCCGGCCGGGAGGCAGTTAAAGGGAACCCAGACTCATGCAACTTCTTGCTGCTGTCTAGATGAATATGCATACATTCTGCTGCAGATCATTTGCCTAATTGGTTCACTTTGTCATTCCACAGGGATTTATAGCTGTGAGGCAATCCACCATATTCGTGGAGCTGCAGGCTATTCCCAAGTAGATATATCCAGTCCTAGACTGTGCCCCCTAATGACACCATAAATGTAATCTATTAGTCTGGAACGGGTGGGGGGATATGAATCCTTACAGGTTTCTTAAAGGCTAGACAAAGGCTCCGTAAAGTCGAGAAGGATTGAGGGTGCCTATGCACTGTGTTACTTTGAATCTGAAAAATTCCAATGGTTCTTATTTCAACTAATTTACTTGGTATCAATAAACTGTGTTATTGTATCCCTGTTAGACAGCCAAGAGGGTTATTCACTAAAGAGCCGAAGGATTTACCTGAACGTTCGGCTAATCCTTCAGCTCACTTCGGCTGCAGAAATCCTTCGATTCAACCAAACCGAAGGGCTGCTGTACACGTTATTCTTAATAGCCCATACAGCAACTGAAGGCAGCTGAAGTAAATAACTGAGCCGAATACACAGCCAGAGCAAGGAGAACGGTCCACCGAAATGGACCAAATCCCTGCAAGTTGTTAAAAAAAATAAAAACCTAGTGTGGGATCCCCCTCCCAAATCATACCAGACCCTTTAAGTCTGGTAGGAATATTAGGGTGGACCCCCGATGTAAAAAAAATTGCATGGGGTTCACCTACAAATTCATACCAGAACCTTTAGGTCTGGTAGGGATTTTATGGGGAAAACCAATGCCAAACAAAAAATTTTTAAAATAAAACATGGGTTCCCTTCTAAAATTCCATAAGTGTCACATACCTGATGTGGTCTGAAGTGATACGGGAGGCTTCCCCTTGCAGCTCTCATCAGAACACCCCTGGAGATGGTAGAGCAAATGCACAAAGCTGAGAGAGGCACGAGTGCCTGTAGCTGGCACAGGGCTGCTAGTGTAGGATGACGATGCAGGTAGCTGGAAGCAGGGTGCCCTCAGAATCTGACTGTCACCAGAAGGCCAGATGATAGCAGAATGAGACAGAAGTGAAGTCAGATGGACCGAGTCAGCCACTGGTGGGCAACAAGGTGCAGAATCAGGAGGCAGTAGTGGAGTCACAAGCGAGCTGGGTCAGAACGTTGTGGGGAAGCAGAGCCAAATCAGGATGCAGAAGAGTAGTCAGACAGGTGGGGGTCAGAAGGCAGGCAGCAGGCAAGCAGAGTGGAGAGTCAACCTGGGTCAGATCCAGAAAAAACAACAGGACACAGGATACAGGTGAATATCTTGCAGCAGCTAGTAGTTGCATCCATCATCCTAAAATAGCCCGTCTGGTGCCAACAGCGGGAACAGGCATATGCACGTCATACCCAGCGTACCAGAGCATGCTTTTGTTTATGTACATGAGCATGCATATGTGTGATGCGGATACCAAACCGCATCAGTTGCACTTGGGACACCAGCCAGACTTCCCTAAAATAAAACAACATCAAATGCATATGGTTATTAGTAAAGAAAACTACAAAAAAACATTTTTTAAATAGCATCAATGAACAGTGTATGGGGTACTATTGTACTGTACATGTGCACAGTTCTAGTTCAGGGACTATCCAGAGTTTGAGATTCCATACACTGGTGCTTGGAATCCAATGATAAACACCCATGCATACACTAGCTTTCATACAACAGCACAGTATATGGGTTTGCTTGGCATAGGTACCCTTTATTGTTTAACAAGCTATCAAATTAGTTTTTTTCTTAGCTCAAGGTCTTTTCTTTTACTTGTCTATTTTGCTTTTACTTCTCTTTTAACTCACACAGAACATATGACCTTGCTGTTTATCTTAATGAAAAACTTTGCTTTTTTTTCATAATTAGACCCCATAAACGGACAATGAAAGTTTTCCTCCTTAGGTAAAAGTCTGTCAACTATTACAGCTCTCACTTTCAGTGAGTACAAACTCCAAAACATTACATCCATTCTTTTTAGTCTTGTATTTGAGTAGGTAAGGGTTAAAATCCCTGAATATTTTACCTGCTTAGCCCTGTTAATGGAATTTCCCTTCACTTCTTGCCTAAAGAGATAAAAGTAAGGAAAATCTCATTATAGTGAGGGAATTTCCCCTTTTAGTTAGCTGCCACTAGCATAGGAGTGCCCGTGGAAGATTTTTGCCAGCTTTTGCTGTTCTGGTCTCAACATTTTTGGCTTTTCCATGACCTTCTGTCTCAGTGACAATTGTATTCAGGACTAATAAATAGGGTGACTCTATGCAGCAGGGACACATCAATTAACACCTGACAGACGTTCCAACGTTTCTACAGACTATGCAAAATACACATACATATGCTTTAATGATACACTAACAATAAAAATCTTCACATAAAGTGCTTCAGCCATATATGAAATATTGATTTAAACTTATTTCAGATTAAAATTTAATTTGGTTTCTCACAACCTTAAAGTACTTTTAAATTCAGAGTTAAGGCATAGCTCATTTAGACAAAACGTGCATATTTAATAATCATTATTAATTTTAGTGTTTGAAGTTTTACAGTAATCATATAAAGTGCTACACTTTATCAAGCATAACTACGCTAAATAAATGACACCTTACACTAATTAAGCAAAATGTGCATGGTGTGGCTTATTACAGGATTTGCTATTTACTTTAGTATTCTGGTATTTTGATCAAATATATTTTACAAAACAAAAAAGTATCAATTTCTTGCCTTTCGCAAACTGTTTTATTACAAAATATGTAACAAATTGTTTGCCCTAAAGTGTATGTCAG